CCTGAAAATCTTGGGCCAAGCTATAGTAATGAGCATCACTGATTTGGAATATACCATACAGAACTTAATCCATTATAAATTTATAAGAGCAAGTAAAAACTATTGGAAACACAAAGTACTCCAAGGAGGCTACTCCTTATAGCTAACTACTTATTAGTATATGTCTCCATTCAGACAGACACTGTGTGAATGTGTGTTGTGCTGTTTCTTTCAAAAGAAATGGTGTCTGACTTGTACTTATGACATGGCTGTTACATTGAAATGCCTCAACAAAAAGTCTTAAACCATATCAGTTTTTGTGCTTAATCACTGTATCTATCCATAGATTGACTCATATATCTAAATGAGAATTCCCCTTTCCTTGTGGAAATGGTGTCTCTACTGAAAGGACAAAACAATTTGACATACATTGAACAACAAGCCAAGTCACAGAAACAGGAAACTAGACAAGAGTACCAGAATCAGTACTTTAGCAATACAAAAATCTATACCATTCTCTGCTCAATATCTTATCTATATCTCAATACGTAATTGAGAGAACTTTTGGCGGCAGCAGGAATTAGAGGAAAAATTAGCTCTGGAAGAAGGAAGATATTCCTGATACCAGTGAATCTGACAAGATAGATCACACATGAAATCACAAAGCAAAGAATATGATACATCCATAAAGGTTATTTTTGCTTCAGTGAGAAACTTTGCCTTTAGGGACACTAGTACATTTCCATTATTTTAAAACACATACACACAAAACCATCCTGGTTGCATATTGAATGTTCAGCCAATGTACATGACCTGAACCAAACCAAACAATGGTTGCACACTGAATGGGAAATTGATCCACAGGTGCTCTTTCACATTTACTGTATCTTGAAAGGCCACCACCTGTTTAAGATACCAGATATAGGACTGGATGCAGACTATCACATATGCTTACATCCCACTGATTTTAGGTTTTCACTCTGCGTGGGATCCAGGTGTGACTGACTTAGATCTTGTCTGCACAGACACAAAAGTATTGTTTCTCTCAGTTATTTTTTCTGCTGACCAGATTATGCAAGGCTGAACATGATGAGATTTGTGCTGTTTCCACTACCTTCTATGCTTCCTTTACTGTCACTTCTATTATTTAGGCTTCTATTATTTAGGATCTGGCTTTGTTGCAGGGGGTGGAGCTTAGGGCAACAGCACTTCCTATGCAGAGTTCACTGCCTTGCCCAAATACCCCATCTCAGAAACTGTTAACCCTTTAATTGGCTTTTTAGATGGAAAACAAATAAGCAAATAACTTCCAGAAGCAAAGCTGTAGCAAGGAAGGAATATATACAGATCCCCCACCATACCCAGAAAGCCTAGATACATGATTTTCAAAGGTCTGCTTCTAAAGTGCTATATAGACACCAAAACCAGCAAGTTCCTATCCTATTTGGGATGATCTACACCTACCCATGCTCATTTGCTATGATCGTTTTGCTCAGCTGGACAGGACCTTCTGGAGATATTCCAAGGAAAGTGGCATTTCTATATACAGCAAAGCAAACATTACAAAGCAGTTGTAACTTGGCCTTTCCCTATTTCATTATTGTTTCTAGAAAAAGGTGTGATACAATATGACTATAAAGCCAAGCCACCTATCTAATCCTATGAGTTACTTACAGGGCTTGAAAAATATACTCGTTCTCTGTGACAAGTGAAAAATGCTGCTCAATGAGCCTCTCTCTCTCTCTCTCTCTCTCTCTCTAATCCTGCAGTCCTCCCCTCTCCCCTCCCATTGCAAAAGGAAAACTGCCCTCTTCTCGCAAGAAGAGAGATATAGCTCTGCAGGAGTGTGTAGAGGAGTCCCATGCTGGACAATATGGAGATTCCCTGCTCCCAATTTCAACCAAACAAGGACACATCATGGGGTGTGAGGGAACCATGGCTCCTTAAGAGGCCGGGCGCTGTTTGCTTTCTGTTTTATTTTTGCTGGAGACATTGAAAAGAAAGGCATCCAAAATACAAGCTTCATGACCCCACAGGCACGCAGGTAATAAGGCAACCGAAGACTGAGGGTATCAATCAGTAAGTCCCGTGTACGTAATACAATTTATACACATTTTGTACACATTGTTACATAGAACTAAAAGTAAACAAGTGCCTAGTTTACATTGACTGGTGAGACATTCTAAAATTTTTCAAGCCCTAATTATTTAGACCACAAAGAATTACATTAAGAGAAGCAATAGCATCCCCAGGTACAAGCAGGTATGTAGTACCCAGTTGCCAACTTCCCATACTTTTGCTATATTCTTACCTTATAGAATTTCAACTACATGTTGCCATTTGGCAAAATTAAGCAACACTTGCAGATTATAATGAAGTTATGTTGCCAGAGTATAATTAAATGTGGAGTGCATATCTACAGTGGAAAACAAGAGAGATAGTGAAGATTCTGAGATTAAAAACAGAACATGAAATACAGGAGGGAGAGAGTCAACTTGTCACTTCTGTAAACCTTTCAATTCAGCTCAAGATTTCTGTGAGTTGTTGCATATATGGTATTTTAATTCAAATGTCTACTAAACTGAGGTAAACAACTTTGTGTGGATTACTGGTACCATTTGTATTTGAACACTTTCGATTGTGTGACAGTTTCAAACCAAATATTAAGATATTTTATTCTGCTTTCTTATGAATCATACCTTTAACGTAAAATATCTTGCTTTTTATATATTTCCTCCACTTACCTCAGAAAACTTCACTAACAAGGGGGTCTCACAAAGAAACAGTCCTGCTTATTGTTAACAAAGTCAACAGATATGGCAGTTGCTTGCATACCCAGCACAAACACTTGGATACAAAATAATTGTTTCTTTTATATTTACAGCGATGCCTTACAAACAACCTATGATTCTACTTCAGTTTTCTTTTTTAAAGACAGTCAGACAAGATTAATCAATGCTGACAGTCAGGAACCATCCATCAGAACTGGTTAGCTTAGCAAACAGGAGATAGCATTTAGGAAAACTCACTTATCAAAACAGAAAGCCCAATTTCTCATCAGAGAAACAACTGCGATGAAGGAAGAGTAGTGAGTCCTATGAAGTATTTAACATGCATTGCCCAATTGGCAATGTGTGCCCTCCCCAAGCAAAGAATGATAAAACACAATCATGTCACTTGTGTGCAATGCATCATCCTCAGAACCACTCAAAAGGAACAAAGAGGGAACTTCTTTGCATGTGGTAGAGCACCAAGTCCTTGTATAGTCCGACTCACAACCTGAAACAGATTTTTACACTCTTACATGCAGCAAGCCACTTCCCAAGTACAACCACCTTTCCTGGATTTTAACTGTTTTTTTCTTTCCAGCATGGGCTAATGCCCTCATTCTATGGTTCAAGGCTAGAGCTATCCAGACACAAGCATATTAAGCCTCAGGAGGTTGTTCTCTTGTTGTAAATCTGATTAAAGCTTACTTCAGAGATCTATTATGTGTTTTCTTTTCCAGACTTGCTTTCATGCTGGCAGTCAATAGGCTCTGTATCACCTTCTTTTTCAAATTCATTTTCAAACAAATCTCATTCCCTTGGAAAACTTCCCTAGGAAGCAGTCTCATTTAAAAAAAGAGAGAGAGAGAGAAAAGCCCTGCTTATTGTTAACAAAGTCAACAAATATGGCAATCACTTTCATACCTAAAACAAACATTTGGATACGAATAGCCAGGCAAGCATCTTGGTCAACACGTTTCCATTAAATCCTGATCCCTGCGGAGACCGGCAACATTTCTGAAGTAAATGGGAGTGTCACACGTTGCGTATGCCCTTTTTCAGGACTCATCCCACCTCTCTCATACACCTTTCCAACAGACCTTGTCTCTGCCAGCCCGGCAACCTTTCAATCCACACAGAGAGGCAGGGGGCAGCAGCAGATGCAATTAGCCTGACAATTCTCCCATCCATCTGTCCAACACTCCCTCGCCTAGCATTCTGTCTGTATCCTTCCCCACCACTGAAGATGAACCAAAGCATCCTTCCCCACTGCCTTTCCACTGTTTCCCCATGGCTGCCCCACCCAGGAGCTATTATTGTACAGTTTCCTATCCCTCCTTTGCACTGATCTCCGCATCTTCAGAGTTTCCTCTTCAAACTGTGTTGCTTTCAGTCTTTTTTCTTCTGACAATCTGTGCATAAGAATTTTAGGGGGGTGGGGTAGGAGATGTATCTGTGCAAAGTTTACACCGTGCTCCGACCTATGACACTGCAACCTGTTAGTAGCTTCCGAATGGAACAGTAGGAGTTTGGGGAAGGTGCGTAAAGGGAAGATTCCTTTCTTATTCCCGGGAGAAGTGGGACTTGCTTCTCTCACAGGGAGCGAATCACGGTATCCAATAGACTTTACTCCCCTAATAAGACGTTCAGGATTGCAGCCAAATAACGGGGGCGGGGGAATCCTGTCACCCGGTCCCTGCAAGTTTATGCGACCACGTTGTGGGCTGTGGCCGTTCTTCCGAATCGCAAAAACGGGCTACACACATCACAGGGAGCCGGTCCCACTGAAATCCGTGGGGCTTCCACGTCGCTCAGGGCGGAAAGGGAGCGCGTGCCTCGCCAGGAGCGCGATGCCAACGCAGCGCTTCCACCTCGTCAGCCGGGCGGGCGGGCGGTCAGACCCTCCCCTCCAAAGACACGGAAGGCGAGCCGAAGTCCAGAGGAGCCTAAAACGGGCTACACACATCACAGGGAGCCGGTCCCACTGAAATCCGTGGGGCTTCCACGTCGCTCAGGGCGGAAAGGGAGCGCGTGCCTCGCCAGGAGCGCGATGCCAACGCAGCGCTTCCACCTCGTCAGCCGGGCGGGCGGGCGGTCAGACCCTCCCCTCCAAAGACACGGAAGGCGAGCCGAAGTCCAGAGGAGCCTAGCCTCAGCCCTGCTGCCCAGCCGCGGCTACGACAGGCAAGCGGAGGAAAAGCGGGAAACAAAGCGCGCGCCTTTGCTCGCTCGCTCGCTCGCGCACTCACTCACCCCGAGCTTCCTGCTGCGGATTTTCACATAGCCTTGCTTGACGATATCATTAAAGTTGGAGGCCATGGCCAAGGCGAGCTGATGAGGCCGTCCCCGCTCCGTGCTCGGGATGGTCCCTGTCCCCGTCCTCCTCCTCTTCCTCCTCCTCTTCTTCTTCCTCCGCTTTTCCTCCTCCTCCTCCTCCTCCTCCCGCCAGCTGCTGCTGAGTGCCGTCGGCCGCCGGCTCCTGAGGAGCCTCTGGCATCCAGGCGGCACTAGCGGCAGCGGCGGCGGAGCAGGTCCTCCTTTTGCGCGTGCCGGGCACACACCGGCCCAGCGCAGCCCGCCCACTCCTCCTGCAGGGCGCCACGCTCGGCTCCTAACCCGCCCGCCCCAAAGCCTGCCGCCGCCGTCGCCACAGCGGCGGCACTGAGGCGAAGCGAGCGACGCTTTCCACCTCCTCGGCCGCGGGGAAACGGAGACGGGCGGAGGCTGCCGCCGCCGCCGCTTTGTCGCTGCCGCCGCTCGGAACAGGCACCAAGCTGCCCCTTTCCCGGCTCTTCCGGCAGCTCTCACGCCGCCTTTTCCCCTCCCGCCTCCAGCTACTGCTTCTCTGCCGGCACCTTGAGTCTTGGGAGATGCTCGCGCAGCGCCATTCCTCCCTCGCCTTCGCCTCCTCCCCCCCCGCAGCCACCACCAGCGCGGAGTGGAAAGGAGCAGGGGAGGGAGGGAGGTGTTCCTGCACGCCTGCTTCCTCCTCCTCCTCTTCCTCGCACCTCCCCCCAAACTGCTGTCCAGGGAAATGTCAGTCCCAGCTTCCATCCCGAAACTCACGTCCGCCCACCCGCACCCCTACCCCCCTCGGCCATCCTGCTTCGCTCCCCAGCGAGTCATTTCTTTGAATGTCAGGTCTGAGGGACCCTGCTCGGGGCATTTCTCCAAGCAGGCAGGCAGGCAGGCGGGCTGGCCGTCGACTTGGCTTGCAAGACACTAGAGGTTTTTCGGCCTCGCTTATTCTGTGCTCCTTGCGTGAGACTTCTGTCTGGAGGAGAGAAAACGTATTCCACATCCTGACACCTGTGCCTGGAGTTAGCCACAAGTGCTCATATGTCTCAGACGACCCCGGGGTGCTCACTGAGAAATACATCTTCACTGAGGGTCGATGAGAGACACTCCTTAGTGAGGACATTCTGTGGTGGTGAAGGAGCCTTTAAAAGGGCAACCTTATCTATCAAAGCTGAAGAAAGGGTGGCCTTTCAGAAGTTGGATTTCAGCTCTCGTCAGTCCTGGCCAACATGAGCAATAATTGGGAGTGATGGGACTAGTGCTACTACAGGAGCTGAAGATGGAGTGACTTCTGGGCTGAGGTCCTTGCAAAATTTACTCACCCAGTAATCGAGATTCTCCCAGGTTTGAGGGGTCACAGGTTCTCAACACCTGATTGACAAGTACAACCGGAAGTCCCTGTTGTAGTAAGCAGGACTTACCGGAGCCAAGAATTCTAGGATTGCAGCTTTAGGAAGTAGCCTTTACTCATCTCAGTAAGCTTGTACAGTATTGGAGAATATTTTGCCCCACCCCCTCTCAATATTGCTGGTTTGTAACTCACATCAACCGCAGCTAGCAAGGCCAACAAGTGAATAATGATTCCAGGTGCAAGCCAACAATCTATGAGGCCATATATTATTGTTTAGTTGTTAAGTCATGTCCAACCCTTCGTGACCCCATGGACCAGAGCACACCAAGCCCTCCTGTCTTCCCCTGCCTCCCGGAGTTGGGTCAAATTCATGTTGGTAGCTTTGATGACACTGTCATCTCATTCTCTGTTGTCCCCTTCTCCTCTTGCCTTCACATTTCCCCAACATCAGGGTCTTTTCCAGGGAGTCTTCTCTTCTCATGAGATGCTTTTTAAGATGCTACAGTATCTAGGTTTGTCATCACTTTCCTCCCAAGAAGCAGGTGTCTTTTAATTTTGTGGCTGCTGTCACCATCTGCAGTGATCATGGAGCCCAAGAAATAAAATCTGTCACCGCCTCCATATCCCCCTTCTATTTGCAAGGAGGTGATGGGACCAGAGGTTGGGACCAGATGGGATCTTAGTTTTTTGGATGTTGAGCTTCAGACCACTTTTTGTCCTCCTCTCTTTCAACTTCATTAAAAGGTTCCTTAATTCCTCCTCACTTTCTGCCATCAGAATGGTATCATCTGCATATCTGAGGTTGTTGATATTTCTTCCAGCAATCTTAATTCCGACTTGGGATTCCTCCAGATCTGCCTTTCACATGATGTATTCTACATATCAGTTAAATAAGCTGGTGGACAATATACAGCCTTGTCGTACTCCTTTCCCAATTTTGAACCAATCCGTTGTTCCATATCCAGTTCTAACTCTTGCTTCCTGTTCCACATAGAGATTTCTCAGGAGATAGATAAGGTGATCAGGCACTCCCATTTCTTTAAGAACTTGCCATAGTTTGCTGTGGTCCACAGAGTCAATGGCTTTTGTATAGTGAATAAAACAGAAGCAGATGTTCTGGAACTTTGTGGCTTTCTCCATAATCCAGCGCATGTTAGCAATTTGGTCTCTAGTTCCTCTGCCCCTTTGAAATCCAGCTTGTACTTCTGGGAATTCTCGGTCCACATACTGCTGAAGCCTGCCTTGGAAGATTTTGAGTATAACCTTGCTAGCATGTGAAATGAGTGCATTTCACACGTGAAATGAGCCCCTTCACGGATTGCTGCCTTGTCGTGGTGAAGGGGTTGAGTAATTCAGAGAAGCTATAGGCTATGCCATGCAGGGACACTCAAGACAGACAGGTCATAGTGAGTTCTGACTAAATGCGATCCACCTGGAGCAGGAACTGGCAAGCCACTCGAGTATCTTTGCCAAGAAAACTCCATGGGCAGGCCATACATTACTTATGCATAAATCTGGCCTGACAGTGAAAAGCACCTTCCGTGCAGTCCTATGCATTTTTAGAAGTTCATGCCATTCACTTCAGTGGGGTTTCAGACTAACATAATGTTGCTATTTTCATATCTCATAGGCAGAAATATTTACTTCAATAATGTGGTTACATGCAGGGGGTGGGAGAACTGCATTTGAATCAAGTTTAGCATGTTTGAAATTAATTTAAAGAAAGGTACACACAACACACAAGGAAGTGCAGCTTTTTTGGCCTGTGAAATGTATTTGGTTGGAAAGTAAGGCATTTTACTGGGTTTCAAGAGGGCTATTTATTTTAATTCGCTTGTGAATTTGATTAATTTTGAATCGATTTAGCATAAGTGAATGCCTCTATCAGCGTAAATTATTTTTGTGGGGTTTGTCATTCACTGGTATGCCTTTCCTGCTCCCTCTCCTTCTTCACTTCCTATATGTAGGTGTGTGTCTCCCTCCTTCCCAAGCCTAGAAGTACCCTTCTAGTCAATATCAATGGTCAGTTTCAGGCCCAGTTTGGGATTCCCTGCTTCCTCTCCTTCTGTCTCCCTAACCCTCTCCTTCAGAGGCTTAGAAATCCTGATCTCGTCTCTGGTCAGTTTCAGCACCAGCCGTGTTACTCTCTCTCCTACTTCACCCCCAGTCTCCTGTTTGCCTGTGTGTGTAAGTAAACCTCTATTTTTAATTTCCCTCCTTATGTTTAGAAAGATGGTAAAGACTGAATTATTTAAAATTGCCTATATTAACTGCAGTGGAAGACAGAAGGACCTGTTGTAGAGGGCCTGGCGTGCTCTGGTCCATGGGGTCACAAAGAGTCGAACACAACTTAACGACTAAACAACAACATAGGAACTGAATCTCTGGGATGCTGTCAAAAACAAATGTAATGCTACATTTTTATAGGGCTATTCATAGTAATTATTTAATTATTGTCCTTTGTATTATTGTATTGTTGCCATATTGTTTTTGAATGTATTTTGTTTGTTATTGTGGGGTATTGAGGGTTTGTTAGTTTTAATCTTAATGCTTGCATTAATGGGGCAGAATATAAATCAAATGATTGAATGAATACAGAAATAAATAAGGGCTGTAAATCTCATTTTAAAAAAATATCACTGTTCCTGGAGGCTTCCAGGAATGACAATTCTTTCTTCTATTATTTTTCCAAAAAAAAAAAAATAATAATAATTTTTTTTTACTCATGGCTGGTCCAGGTGCAGTATAAAGGAACACAGGGGCTACATGAAGCCCAGATTATTCCAATACAGTACTTCTGTGTGTAAGACTACCCTAGAGCAATATTTCTGTGAATGGTACTGGGGCTAAAGACTTAGGACATGATCCATTTAGTCAGTTGAGCCAATTACGTTAGACAATTAAGCTCACAAATTTTATCCCATGCATCTTTTCTTCTGCAGTATTAGTACAATGCAAGTTTTCACGAGGTGAAAAAAATGGCTGGTGTTTACAATTATTGTTTCTTTTTCACTGCAACACCATATACATCTGTTTTATTCTCATGGTGCATCTCAGTTTTCAAAGAACTACTTTTAAAAAGTATGCTTCCTAGTGAAAATCTCAATGTGCTAGTGAGTAGTTTGCTTTTGTTCATTGTACTGCAGTTCCACACACAGGATAAGAAACTTGTAATTGCACATCATTTAGTCCTACTAAGGTGCCTGGTCTTTGGAATAAAATGCTAACAGAGATGAGGCATCATAAGGATGGTGAATTATAAAACGGTACCACCTGCTTTTTACCTCATTCTGCCAGTTTATATGGAAAATGTGTATAATTTCTTAAAGAGGTAGCCATGTTAAATTTGTTTCAGTATGTACTGTACAAAAAATAAAAAATAAAAAATAAAAACAAAAATATTGTGGCGCCTTGAAGACGAGCAGATTTATTTCAGTGTGAGCTTTTGTAGATTACAGTCTAATTCCATACGTGGAACAAAATGTTTATACTACAGAGTATATGATGGTGGAGTGAGGATTGAGAGAAAAGTTTATTCCCACTCCACTATCTTGAATTCTGTGTATATAAATATTTTAAACTTTAAGGTGCCACCATCCTATTATTTCTCCTTTTGTTGTTCCTGCATTTTTTATTTTTTTTTCTTCTGTTTGTATGCAAGTTTTAGGAACTAATCTTGCAGCTTCAAGTAAGTACAGGCATAAGAAAGATTCATCTAACAGTGTGGATCTCCAAAGCAGGCTCAACCTGAATTTGTTAGGTTGGGACTGAGGGTGGGAAGTACAGTCTTCCTCATACCTTTCAGTGTGTTTAATACTTGTTGACAGGGAACACAAGGCAATGCCATCCTGAGGGGAGGCAGAATATTGTATAGAATGTCCCAATTATGTCAGTTGCAATGAAAACTGCTAGAATAGAAGGATCTCGTTCCACTGACTGGAATGTATATCCGACCAGGTTTATGAAAGCGAAGTTTCAACCTTTCACCATTTGCATGGGCAAATGAAATTAAATCCCTATTGAAAACTGCCAAGAAACAAAAACAGGATATAGTGATATCTGTGGAAAAAATGCCCAAAGGAAGCTCTATTGTGGCTTCCTTGGAGATTTCAGTCTAAACATTATTTATTTAGTTTGATGTATGTGTGGATGTACATTAGTTCTCTTCACCAAACACCTCCAAGCACTGTATCAATTAAATGAAAACAGCACAAATGTACAAATTCCTCTGAGGCTGGAACACAGAACTCTAAAGTAGCTTTATCCACACATCCACTGTACTCTGTCTCCTCATAAAGACATATTT